ACCGTTCAGGCTGCTTGGCAGCTGTGTGAATAGTCTTAATGGGAAAAAAAAAAAAAAAAAAAAAAAAAAAAAAAATCCACTATGTAATAAATTGCCCGTTCGTTTGCAAGCCCAAGGCTGCTCATATGTTACTTGAATATAACTTAACCGTTACGTCCTTTTTTTTTCTTTTTTTTTTGCTGCCTAGTTCTTCGCGCAATAGTAAGGTGAGCATGCCTGCCCCAGGAGAGAGGTGGTAATTTCATGCTAGTGAAAACCATGACAGTCCGTGTGCAAGCAGGGTGGGGGGGAGTAGGTCCATACGCATCGACGCATGCATAGGGTGTGTGCGGTGAACCGCAGCGGGGGGGGACGGGGTATAATAGAAGGTTAACGAGAGAAAGAGAAGAAGCTGTGAGGAAGCAAAAGGGGAGCGAGGCCTAAGTGGTGCAGGGCAAAATGTGGGGTACGACACTGTATGTAGCTCAGCTACTTCTGCTACTCACACGGAGCCTCCAGTGCAGGAAGAGGCATCCCCACCAGGGGTACCTACACGGGATTGCCCATCCCACACTTAGACATGAGAACAGAAGCAGGATACATAAAATGTACGCAAGGAAAAAAAAAAAAGATACAGAGCAAGAGTATTATAATAATTTTTTTAAAGAGCTAGATAAAATATTTAATGAAGAAGATGATGAGCAGAAGCAGGTCGAGGAAGAAGAGAGAAGGAAGGAGGAGGAAATGGACGCTATAAGTGAGCAGGACCTTCTGGAAGTGAATTTCTGCAACTATGAAAGGGACCCCAGGAGCTTGGCCAACTTGGTCAGGAACAAGACGGAGGAGGAGGGGGAGGCCTCTACCCTTGGAGGGGATAAAGAGACCATGCCATACAGCTACGACTACGAGAGAGTGCTTAAGGGAAAGGAATTCCTACCAGAAAAAATTCTTTTAAAGGAAAAGTTATCACTGGAAGAAGATGAAGAGAAGATTGTTGACCGAGTGGACGTGAACACCATGAATGATTTTTTAAGTAATTACCAGAATGACTTCCAGGGTCCTTTTTACAAGGGACGCAGGGATACGCGTTTCGGTCGAGAGGATCTCCAAGGGGAGGAGTTCAGTTCAGAGGAGGGGGAGCAGAACAAGTTAAGTGGTGATAAAAGTGCAGAGGCGGGTATAAAGCATGGTGGTAGTGAGAAGGACCAGCTCGAAAGCATACACTTCTTGAGGAGCATCCGGCGCGAATTTGACCTTGATCGAGGCAGCGATATGGTTGAGGCGGTGCGTCAGGTGGAGGGGCACTTCATGAAAGGGAGTGTTGCAGGGGGTGGCGATATGCATGGCGATAGGCATGGCGATAGAGATGGGGCAGAGGTTGACGACCGCCCCTTTGAGAAACACGTGGAGGAGGAAATCAAGAGGCGCTGCACGGATGATGAGACGGTGGAAAAACTGATATGGAAAAAATTCATCGACATGTACAAAGTAGACGAGGCGGTGAAGAAGACAAATGAACAAATAAAAAAAAGCCAAAGCGTTAGCGCATTACTGGAGCTGTTTATGGAAAAAAAACCAAAAAACATAATAAACATTATGTACATGTTCATGTATATTTGTAGATTTAAAAATGCAAACATGATGGAATATATATATGACAGAAGATTTGCTTCCTTAACGGATAGTTTGGAAGAGGTGTTGAAATTTTACCTGTACATGTTCAGAAAAAAAATAGACTGTTCAGGTGAAAAGAGGAAGACGGAACGGACAATCATTTTAAACAGCAGCAACATTATTTTTTTACTGAAATATATGAACAAATTGAAATTATTTTACATAAATTTGAGTATTTATAATTTGCTATTTTTGATCATGTCTCAATCGCTTCACCTGTTCAGCATCGACTCTTTAGTCGTTCTCTTAGCCTACTTGAATGAATACTCTTACTATGGGAATGAAATTCACAAGAAAATTAACCGTTCCATTTTGAGAAAATTTTTCCAACTTGTCCGTGTGGACAGGTCCAACCTCTCTAAACTCCACTATGGCCACTTCAAGTTACTCGTATCTGTGTTGGTGAAACACAGGTATGTTGACGATGTTGCGTCTTGCCTGCTGGTGACTCACTTCGCCAAGGACACAGAACGTGCAATTGAAAGCGTGCGGAGTGGCCAAGCTTACTCGGGCAACAAAGACATTTGCGATGTCCTCTTCTACGACTCCAAAACGAAGGAACAAAAAAAAAACAAAGAAAATTACATGGCCTACCTGGAGAATCAGCAAATAGTACAGAGGAAAAAAGACGTAAAATTTTTATACACTTTTTTACAATACTTAATGATTGGTAAGTTTGCTCAGGGAGAGGAAACTGTGAAACGACTAGTAGATTTATTTTTGCAAAACCTGTCCTTGTTCCAAGTGGAAGATGTGCTCGCCATTTTTTTCAACTCCGGGCAGCTCCAGCATGGAGACCAGTACAGCTCTCTGATGACCCGCTGCAAGCACGAGTTGTTGCAGCAGAAGAGTTTGTTAAAGGACTTTCAAATAAACCAGGTGCTCTCCTTTTTCATACTGGGCTATAGGCGGTCCGTCCTTTTGCGGGACTACCACAGACGCCTGTTCAAGCATGCACGCTACGTTCTGCGGAGGGACCAACCCACTCCGGGAAAAGAACCTCCCCTGGACACTCTACCCCACCTACTCTCTTCCAGAAGCCAAATGCGCGCTCTTCAGCGAAAACACCTCCTCACCAACGAGGCATTTAAAGACCCCCAGTTCCTCTACGACTTTACACACGACATACACAGCTTTGTAAAATTTAAAAATATGCACCTGTTGAAGTTTGTTTATAACATGTACCTACTCAGTCTCCTCTACTACAAGAATGCTGATGTCCTTCGCATCGTTTCAGAGGTATCCTACGATTTAATAGAAACGAATATTTTTTCCTTCATTGACCAGTACTCCTACTACATGTACGAAGACATTTACATCATCATTAAGGCATTCAAGTATGTGTCCTTTTTTCAAATAAATTTAATTGACCCATGGAAAAAGTTTTTTTTTCTTTTAGAACAATTTTCAAAATCATTGAACTTGCAGAATATATATGACATTTTTTTTTTCATTAATATTTGTAACTTACAAAATTTGAAGTGCGAAAATTACAACGTGTTGAAAGTTCTGACCGAGCGCATGAAACAAATTTTGGAAGTCCTGGCCAAATACGACCTTCACCAGTTTAGTACACACCCCCACACGTACCTGTTAAACGTTTTAAGCCTCGTCCGGGAGAAGCGGAACGAGCACGTGTGCGCCTTTGCCCAGACCTTCTTCTACTCTGTGTATAAGCGGCTATGCGGGGGGTCGGAAAATGCGTCCCACGACAATGTCTCGAGTGAAAATATGCCTCGTGAAAATACGCCACGTGAAAATACGCCCCATGAAAATACGCCCCATGAAAATACGCCCCATGAAAATACGCCCAGTGAGAACATCCCACGTGAGCCGCGCGAAGCCTACCGACGAGTGAGCAGACGCCCATACAACTTCCGAGACGCGAGGCTCTTCCTTCAAGCATTCCTAACCTACTACAACGAAAAGCAGGAGCACCTAAACTTACCCATTGTCCACTTTGCCCTGTTCAATGTGGAAGAGTTCTTGTGTGAGCTGCGTGAAAACGTGCACTACTACCATAGTAGCTACATATATGGGTCACAGATGGCGGAGCTTTTGTCGTTGATACGCCAACTGGTGGACAAGAAAATGTACAATGGGCACATCATGCGCACGCTTGTGTTAATAATTAAGCACATGATACATATTCAAGGGGTTCACAATGGCAGTGATTATGCTAGCGGGGTGAACATTTTTAAGCCCTTCTTTGCACGCTTCTCCCAAGTGACGGATGCGAACGTGTGGCGCTTCATTAGACGACACGCGCCACTCACCTTCCAAGTGTAGACCCCGTGGACGGGGGGTTAGAAAAATGTGTTTGGAATTTTTTTTCACTTGTTCTTTGTCCCGCTTGTGGAATTTTTTTTTTTTTTTTTTGTGTGTGCAACTGTTCATAGGAAATTTGCCTTACCCCTCCCACCGCCACACACACGCAGCGGTCTCATCTGCATTTTAACCACATGTGTTACACATGGTGGGGTTCACGTGGCGTAAAAGTTAACTTTTTTTGTTTTTACCCTTTCCGGGTGTTGTATGCCCGAAGGGGGGGGAACACTCCCATGATGGTTGTCAGTTATCGCTATGGGGCATAACCAGGGCTACGCAGCACGCACACATGCACAAACAAAATGAGGGATATCGTGCCCAGGGGTGACAGTTGCTCGTTGCTTTGGTTTACATCCCCCCTTGTAATTGCGTGAACTGAGTGGTATGCTCTCACCACGGGGGCTGTGCCTTCTTTAGAGGTGGCATATGCAGCTGCGCAGGGCGCTGAACTGCGTATTTGTTTTTTCCGGATGATGTGCATACGTGCGGAAACGCCCAGGGGAAACACACGTATAGAGTAATACAATCACCAATGCATACCAGTTGCTGCAGAAATGTGTAAATGTTTACACAAAGGGTTATGTACACTCAGAAGTACCTTTCGCGTCCATCCGATCAGCCCTTTTTTTTTTTTTCCCCCACAGTTTCTTCCAATTCGGGTGGACACAAAAAAAAAAAAAAAAAAAAAAAAATGATAAAATTTCCCCGCGAGAACATTTATTGGGAGTTACCTCGGGGTATTTTTTTTTTTTTTTTCCCTGCAAATTAGCAATTTAAAAAAAAAAAAAAAAAAAAAAAAATGCCATGTGATGGTTAAAATGCGGTATGTGTCTGGCCGTCCAACACAAACGCGCAGTTTAGCACGCGCTCGTTTTTTCCTTTTGTTTAGATCGCCATGGTTGAAACATGAACGTGAAAATATGAGCGACTGGAGATGACTCATGTTTCTTCCTTTTGTTGCACATTAATTATCACCTCGCTTTGCCTTTGCCCACACATAATAATTTTGCTTCATATGACTTTGATTTGCTCCTTTTAATTATATGTTTCTCTCTTTTCCTCTGTATTTTTTTTTTTTTTTTTTTTTTGTGTGTTTTTATTGTGAAGATATCCCCCCCTCTGTCTCATATGCCCCTGTGCAGATTTGTCCCTGCGTTTTGGAGCAAAAAGCGAGCAAGGGAAGGGAAAGTGTGAGAAGACCGCCAAACGTTACCCGGCAGTTAATACGGAATTTGCAACCGACGCAAGTGGCGCCAACCAAACTGCTTATGCGTACGGAGGCATCCTCAAAGGGGGAGAAACTCACACGTATCGACCATTCGGAAGCAACACCATTTTTTTTTTTTTTACAGACGCGCCGCGAAATATGCTGCTAAGAGGGAGAAGCGTACATTACAGCATGTGATTTACAGTGCAGTGTGGACAAATCGGATAGTAAAACTTTTTTCCAATTTTCTCCACTCAGTGCAAAAGTAGTTTTTTTTGTTGCTTTTTTTTGGTTGCTTTTTTCCCCGCGCCAAGATGAGTGACTGCGACAGTTTCATCTCCATCGACAACAACAACAACGATGAGACAGCTGCAAGCGAAGGGAAGCAACTGATGAACCTAGACAAATTTTTGGACTACGACATGGACTTTATAAGTGAGGTGGACAGGTACAAGTATGTAGGAGCGGATATAACACAAAGGAATGATTACTTCCATATTAAAAATGAGGAGGTGGCATTTCTCCATACAGATCATGTGAAATACAGCAACGTCGCTCTAGGGAATAGGAAAAAGGAACAAGTGAACACTTTCATGAAAATAAAAAAAGAATTGTATACCATAGCATATAAGAATTATAAGTACCAAATGGGAAATTCGGTGAGCACGGAAAAAAAGAGCGCGGAGGAGGAGGTTTGTAGTACAGGGGAGACATCCCCGTGGGGCAGCGTTATGGAGGGAATAGTTTCTTTGCCCAGTTATGGCAGCACAAAGGGGAATGAAAAAGGGAACAACGCGTACGACCTGCTGAACAATGAATTAGGAGCTGTGCTGGGGAACAAAATAGAAGACACGTATAATGAAATAAAAAGTAGCGTCAACTGGTTGGGCAATTTCTTCTCCAACAATGAACAAAATGATGAAAAAAAAAAAATAAATATTTTTTACAGTGATTTATACTTCCTTAGTGATATCACCATTTTGCGCTTTCTAGACACGTACGATTATAATTTGCTAAAAACTTCGAATAAAATTATAAAATTTATTTTGTGGAGACAAATGACCATTTCGATTTTTAACACAAGCCAGGGGAAGATAAAGAGGGGCTCAAGCTCGATGCACGACGAGGCCATGGCCACTGCAACAGAGACGGCCGCAGTGGCCAAGTGCAACACCAATGCATTCAGCACCACGGGAAACCGAGACAACACCTTCATCAACCCTGTGCACATTAAGGACATTTTAATGAAGACCAACATCTTCAGGTGCGGAAGTGACAAAAAATCGAGGCCCATGCTTTATATAAAAATACAGGAAAAATTAAACATGGAAGAAGACGAACTGTTCTTGCTGCTCGTTTATCATGTCGACATGTGCATGAACAGTATTGATTATTCAAAATGTTATGAGGAAAAGGGAAAAGCAAATGGTGGGGAGAGCAACACGGAGGGGAAAACCCAATTCGACGAGTCCACTTTGCAGCTAGTAATCATTGTGGACTGCCAAAAATTTGAATTAAATAATATGATCAGCGTGGATTGCATTAAAAAAATTATTAACATTTTTAACGAATTTTACACGGATGTTCTGTACAGAATTTATATTATAAATGTCCCCACCTTTTTTAAAAAAGTTTGGTCCCTTTTTAATATGTTTATCGATAATCACACATTGAAGAAAATTATTTTTATAAATAAAAAAAACATCAACTTGATGTACGACCATATTGATGCACACGTCATGAAGCATTTTGATAAGAATGCCGACAAAGACAAAACCATTCCGGACGACTCCTCCATTTTCTTCCCCTCCTTGTCTCTGTACTACAAGTACGACGAAATGTATTATAAGAAGCTCGTTGGTTATGTAGACACCTGGGTGGTTAAGATGGTCCAGGCGAACCATTGAGCGGGGGTGCGCGAACAGTAACCCCTGGCGTGTTACACATTGCCCTTCGCGTTGTATTGTACCTTTTTTTTTTTTGTTCTCTCTATCTTTCCCTCATTCCCCCCCTTGTTGTACTCTCTATTTTGCTCCATTGTGTGGGCGTATTATCCCGCGCTTGTTCGTACCTGTTTACCGCATACCTCTTTTCATTCGTGTGCGTGTGTGCGCTTTTTTTTTTTTTTTTTTTTTTTTTTTTTTGTTGCCTTT